ACAGGGCTGAGGCCTTTGGGGAGTTGCTGGGAGGAAATAAGGTTATTGTAGCTCAATTCATGCAACCACTGCATTTGTGGGATGGTTGCTGTGTTCTTTTTTGTACGGCATGCCACATTGTGTTAATATTAATGAAGTTTATTCAGAAATCTATAGTTTCCCCACTGTCGTGCATGTTAATCATTGAGTAAAAAAAAACTGGCTTGTCACAACTATGGTCAATATTTTGATGTTGCCAGGTTTTAAAATAATACTGCAGTCTTATTTTAAATCTGAGCTGTTATACAATCAACTTTTACAATTATATAATCACTTTTTCTTAACGATTATCCCTCTCTGTGGGCACGTGCGCTGTCACCCCAGCCCTAGGCCTTCAGTCCCGTCCATGACAACCTGCATCAATACCTACACAGGGTAAGTTTGCCGTGCCCACCCCCACCTCCCCAAGTGGTTTTTTACTAACCTGCCTTTCAGCTGCATTCCATTTCTCCGTTCGCTTCTCAGCGTTCGCTGCGTGTTTGTGGGACTATTGGTAAAAAAAAAAAGTTCTATCAGACTTTCTAACTTCTCGTGAGATCTCAAGAAGTTAGAAAGTCTGATGGAACTTTTTTTTTTTTACTGATAGTCCCACAAACATGTGGCAAAGGCTGAGAAGTGAATGGAGAAACGGAATTCAGCTGAAAGGCAGATTAGTAAAAAAACGCTTGGGGGAGGCGAGGGCTTCTGGATGGGTGGCTGGCGTGGCAACCTTACTCTGCATGGTGGCGGGAGGGTGGGGCACGTGCCCTTCCCATGCCAAGCCAGCCCCTGCAGCCCCGGGGTGGCCATGCTGGGCAGCAATGGGCAGAGTGTTGAGGTGAGGGCCGGCAGGGTGACCAAAACAGCAGGTGAAGCACTGGAGGCTCGGGGAGGGAGGGCGCTGAAGTGGGCGGTCAGGCCATTGGCAAGAGCAATGCGTCTGAATGGAAAGCGGCCTCGGAACAAGTGGGGCAGTGAAACAAGTGAAAGATCGCGAAGTTGGAATTGATTGATTGATCTTTTTTCCCAAAAAAACCCTTCGTTTCCTTGCACATGATGGCAGCGGCAGATTGTGAAGGAGAAACGGCATGGGGCTGGAAGTCAGGTAAGGAAAGAAAGGCAATTTCTAGGGGGAGCAAGGATTTCTTTCCTTACCTGCCCCACTTGTTCCAAGGCCGCTTTCCGCTCAGACATTGCTCTTGCCAATGGCCCGACTGCCCACTTCAGTGCCCTCCCTCCCCAAGCCTCTGGTGCTCCACCTGCTGCTTTGGTGGCTGTGTAGGCAGAGCTGCGCAGTTCTCTTCTCTGACAGATGCAGCTCTGCCTACAGAGCCATCAAAGCTGTAGCTGAATGGGCCCCACTTGTTATTTGTGTTTGTTTTCGCCTATCTTAATTTCAGTCGCCAGTATCTGGCTAAAAGTTGAGTTGACATCTTCAACATAACTATTTTTCTCTTCCAACATACAGAAAACAAACAGTTTGCTCAATATATATCTACTATAGATGCTGTAAGTAACTGTTTTCTCCTTTGTATAATATACTTTGAATGGCTGTGGAAAGGAGTAGATGTGGATACTTTGATTGGGGTCACCAATCAAGGTATCTCTTTACTCTGCAAATTTACTTTGCCTTTCTTATTTTAATTCAAAAAGGAATGCTGATTGGTATATACCAGTGATGGCAAACCTTTTAGAGACCGCGTGCCCAAACTGCAACCCAAA